ATTTATATTAAATATGCATACGCCCTGCACCCAGCAGTTTCACTTCTGGGAGTCTGTGCCATTAAAAAAAAAAAAAGCATCCATTTAAGGATGTATATAAAGATATTTACTCTGCACAGTGGTGCTCGCCTGTAATCTCAGTGGCTCTGGAGGCTGAGGCACGAAGATGGCAAGTTCAAAGCCAGCTTCAGCAATTAGTGAGACCCTAAGCAACTCAGCAAGACCCTGTCTATAAATAAAATATAAAAAGGGCTGGGGATGATGTGGCCCAGTGGTGAAGCACCTCTGGGTTCAATCCCTGGTTCCAAAAAAAAAAAGTATTTCATTGTGAGAAATAGGCATATAAGTAATATGCATTCAGTTGACAAGTTAGGAAGGAAAGCATGTAGAAGTGTCCAGAGCCCCATTAACTTCTCCTTCACAGTCCCAAGGTGCACCTCCACCAGAATACCCACACCCCTCCTCTCTGTCAGGCTGGACAGTTCTACTCTTCATCCTAACCACAGTTACACCATATCACCGATTTTTTTAAATGTAGAAAAGGTGTCTCATCCTCCGGATGTGTGCAGCCAGGCACCAAGGTGGTGGTTCAAAAAGTGCAGCACACACTGAATTTCAGCTGCAATGCACACCTGTAATCCCAGCAACTCAGGAGGCTGAGGTAAGAGGAGCAGGAGTTTTAAGGCCAGCCTAGACAACTCAGAGAGAACCTGTCTCACAATAAGAAATAAAAAGGGCTGAAGACATTTCAATGATGCAATGCCCCTGGGCTTTTCAAAATGTGGGTTTTAAAAATGAAATTCTGGAGCAGAGCATGGTGGCACACACCTGTCAATGGGTAAAAGTAAGTATCCTAGCCAGAAACGAGGAAGAGGTTCCCAGGCCCCGGCCACTGGCATCTCCCTGAGTCCCCTAGCTACATAACATCCCCGAGCCTGCTAATCCAGGTGTCACCTTGGGCAAAAGGAAAAAAAGGGGCCCAACCCCCCGAAGGGGGCAACCAAGCAACAAAGGGGGGGGTCAAAAACGGCAACAAAAAACGAAATTCAACCTGCACTGACTCCCTGTCAGGGATTTTTTGTGCAGAGCACTCTTGTATAACTGTCCTCAGCAGCCCTGCCTAGGGTACCTCTGGGGCCCCACCCACCGCCAACAGCCCACCCAGCACTGGTGCCCCACACTTCTTCAGACTGGCAGCCTGGCTCCCGGATGAAGCAGTTGAGCCATGCGTTTTTTGTGAGATATCTTCTTGCAGCTATACAATCCATTACAATCACGTTTCTAAGTAAACTGAGATGAGTTCCTCTTATGCTGTGGGCCGACAATTCCCTTGAGTCAGACAGGGTATCTCGTCCTTCCCAGCGTCTCTAGCAATGAGGATGGTTTCTGGCACACAGAGGCACTTCCTGAGCATAAATGTGTTGAATAAAAGAACAAATGATAGCTATTATGGTTTGGATCTGGAATGTCCCCCAGAAGCTCACGTGTTGGAGGCTAGGTCCCCAAGGCAGCAGTGCCCAGAGTGATTAGATCGTGAGGACGCCGAACTCATGGATGGATTAATGCACTGATGGCTGATGGACTAATGGGAAGTGGTGGAGACTAGGCAGGTAGGGCGTGGCTGGGGAAGTATGTCACTGGGGGTGTGCCCTTGGGGACTCCTCCCTCCCTCTCCTCCCCCTCCAGGCTACCCTGAACTGAGTTTTAATATGCCCCACCCTTCTGCCCTGACGTTCCACCTCACCTGAGGCCCAAAGCCGACTGTGAGCTAAAAGTTCTGGAACCAGAACCTCGTGGCCCAACGGTAGCACGTTTGACTCCAGATCCAAAGTTCTGGGACTAGGAGCCAAAATAAATCTTTACTCCTCCAAGTTGTTTGGGTGAGATATTCTGGTCTCCATGAAGAAAAGATGACTAACGAAAATGGCAGAATAAGTACTTGGCCAGCCAGAAACATCTAAAACGGTTACTTAAAGTATAAACACTCTTATTATGTAAAAATATAAATTTACTTATTTATTTTCAGTACGGAGAATTGAGCCCAGGGGCACCCTACCACTGAGCTACATCCCCAGCCCTTGTATTTTATTTTTCATTTTTCGATTTTTGAGACAGAGTCTCACCAAGTTGCCCAAGCCAACCTTGAACCTCCCAGTTCTCCTGCCTCAGCCTCCCAGATAGAGTGACTGGGATTAAGGACGTGCCCCACCACACCTGGCTGAAAGTCCTTATCAAAGTGCCACAGTAGGATATTTAGCAGGATAGCTTAAGAGGTTAAATCTAAATAAAAACAGAAACTCAGAGAAATAGAACAGCTTGGAAGCTGGGTCTTGCCTGAGGGCATTAGCCAGTACTCAAGATCTTTTCTAGGGAGGGAGCGTGTTGGGATAGCCCTGTCTCCTCCACCCCTACATAAAGCTGAGCTTTTAAAAGCCCCTCCTGTAGGGTAAGTGTGAGGTAGAGATAAACCTACACATCTAGGGACTCAGGAGAATTTGCCTTCTTTAAATCTGGGTCCTGAGTTTGGAGGGGAGGGGACTCTTAATTAAACAAGCTAGTCATCCCTCAAGTGTGCCCCCAGAATCTGCTAAGACAAACCTAAACTTGCTATAAAGAAACCACCTTCAACCAAGAGGCCTCCAAAAATTTCCACCCACAAGGTTTCCAAAGACTGTGTTCACAGTCAAAAATCACAAAACAGAAGCGGGTGCTGGGTGGAGCGGGTGCTGGGTGGTGGTGCACGCCTGTAACCCCAGCAGCTCAGGACACTGAGACAGGAGGATCAGGAGATTTGAGGCCAGCCTGAGCAACATAGTGAGACCCCACCTCAAAATAAAAATGGAGGAGTGGGAGGGACACAACCTGGAGACATATCTCAGCTCCCCTGGGTTCAATCCCCAGCACAGGGGAAATTTTCCCACAGTTCCAGAAAGAGAAGAAAAGAGAGGAGAAGAAGGAGAAGAGAATCAAGGGAACATTAGCAGATCAAGGCTGAGGACTTTCCAAACATCATTGGGGGGGGGGGGGTGCCCTGGGGTTGTGGCTCAGCAGTAGAGCAATCGTCTAGAATGTGTGAGGTCCTGGGTTCGATCCTCAGCACCACATAAAAATCAATAAATAAAATAAAGGTAAAAAAAAAAAAACACCATTTCCATGGGTTCAACAAGATTTATGAAGCCCAAGCAGGTTACACACAAAGAAATCTAACCCTGGAAGCCAGGTGTGGTGGCACACATCTGTAATCCCAGAGACTCTGGAGGCTGAGGCAGGAGGATCATTAATTCGAGGCCAGCCTCATGAATTTAGACCCTGTCCGAAAATACAATAAAAAGGGATAGGGATGTAGTTCAGGAGCAGAGCGCCCCTAGGTTAGGTCCCAAGTGTGGGGAAGGGCAGTCTGTGCGCCTAACCTGCTACACCCACCAGATTCCATTGTAAATGCCGCTTCCCTGCTCCCCACCGCAAGAACAAAATATTCTTCTTTTTTTTAATTCTAAAATTATGTCACTAAAGCAAACGGAAGAATTTGCTACTGTCCCTTTTCATTCCTGTAGAGACGCAGAAGTTCACGGACAGGTGTTCTGTGCACCTGTGCGTCTCTCCAACCTCTGGGCTGCCCACCCTCCAGAACCCCCTAGAAGAGCGGAACGTAGGCCCTCGCCTGAGCAACGGCCCCCCGCAGCCTGGAGCCCATCTGCCCACGGAAACAAGACCAAGGTCTCCTGGCCTCTAACGACCCTCGCTTGACTTTGCTTGGAGTGGGTGGGCACCTGAAGATCCTTCTGCCTTAACCTCCTCTGAGCGCCAAGATCCATCTCCAGGGCTGTGACCCTGTGCGCCAACCCTAACACGGTGGACCCCTCTGCAGGGGCCCAAGAAAACCTACCCCGCGCCCCCCGCCCGCCCCTCCCGCGACTCTCCCCCTGGGGCCCTGCTCTCTGCCCGCAAGAGGGCGCTGTCTCCACGCCCCAAATTGTCTGCCCCTGGGCGGCGGCCGGGAATGGGGCGAGTACTTTTCCATGGAACTGAATAGCGCCGACACGTGGTCCTTCCCTTGTTTGGACAAGGCCTAGAGGCAAGGAATGTCAAAAGCCTCTACATCTCCCCGACCCCACCCTCCTGCCTGAAAACACTGATGCGGACCATTGACCCTAAGTCCATTAGTCATCTTCTCTGAAGGGGGCTGAGGGCTTGGCTCGGCTCCAGGGGGAAGGCCGGTGGGTGATTCATTCAAATGAAACTTCAGGGATGGGCTGGGTCAATATGAACAGAAGCTGCGTTGTGCCCCGTGTGTGAGCACCTCATGATTCACAAGTTCATGATCCCCAACATAGAGGACCCCATCTCTGAACGCAGGGAGAGAGAATTCTAGTGGGGTCCTCCATGGGCTGGTGATGGGGCTCAGTGGTGGAGCACTGACCTGGCATGCTTGAGGCCCTGGGTGTGACCCCCAGCACCATGAAAATATAAAAATAAAATAAAATGTGCCTCTCTACCTGCAACTGGAGCATGAGTAGCTTCAGTCAACTCTACAGTCTAGTGGTCTCAGAGACCACCTCAGACCCCGACTCATGCATCTCAGATGTGCCAGCTACGCCCCACCTCCCTATGGTGAGAGGGTGGATTGGCCCCACCCCAGGGCCATCTAGCACTTCCCCCTGTCACCACACCCAGAGCAAAACATGTCTTCAGGGAGCTGCTAGGACAATCTCTGCTCCACCTCTAGGGACCCCAAGTTCCTCACAGCCCAGACACCACTTCCTTCTCCAGCCTCACCCTAGATCTCTACTGGAGACCATTTGAGTCTTAAGATGGCTTCCCCAAGGGGGGGGGGCATCTTTTCTAAATCACATAAAGTCTCCTTATGAGCTAGCAGCAGCCTTACAGGGCAGATGGCCAGTGCGTCAGTCCAGAGGTGAACAAGGAAGCAGACTTCCTGGTGGCTGGTACAGCCAGACCAAGGAGGAATCAGAAATCACTGGAAAGCCATGACACAAGGATAGATTCAGCAATAACAACAACAACAAAAAATTTATTGTGCAATTACCCACCACTGGATTGGACTCAGACAAGCCCCCAGAGGGCCTCTCCACCTTCCCAACTTATTTGCAGTCCTTGAGGGCATCGTTGTAGATCAAAGCCAAGGCCCCTAGGAAGGTGACATACTCCTGGAAGTTCACCTCCTGGTCCTTGTTCCGGTCCAGGTCTTCCATCAGCCTTGAAATTTCAGCATCCTGCAGCTTCTGATGTGTTAGAAGGGAAAGTGCAGTTCAAGGATGAGCCCCTGGATGCTCTCCCGTCCTCCCTCCCAGGCAGCTCTGCTCAGGGACATCCACCTTGGGTTCAGCTTGGCTTCACCTCTCTTCAGTCCCTGCTCCTCCCTTGGGGGAATGAACACCAGGATAAGACTATCCCCACCCCCGGAGGGAATGGATCTTCAGCTCAGGGAGGCCAGCGGCCCAGGGCCACATGGCTGAGTGGGCAGAGGGGCCTGGGAGGAGGCCACTCACGGCGCCGATGGAGAGCTCCTTCTGGATCAGTTCCTTGAGCTCCTTCTTGCTCAGGGTGCTCTTGTCACCCTCCCTGCCCGAGTACTTGTGGAAGATGGCCACGAGCAGACCAATGGCCTGATCCAGGGGGCACGCCATGACTGAGGGCTGGACCTAGGGCTGGTGACAGAAGGGCTGCTGAGTGTCACAGCACCAGGGACTTCTTGCTCACCACACACCCCCAGAGCTCTGTCCCCACGACCTGCCTGAACCACCCAGCCTCAGGCCACACACAGGTGGCATCAGGAGGCAGCGCAGGGGAGGTGGGAGCAGACTGAGGCCAGGGGACAGCGCCCCAAGAGGCCACCGCGGGGGAATAGAGACGGTTCAGGGTTCTGAGGAGCGAACGGGTCGGTGGCTTAGATCAGGCCG